CTGAGTCAGCCCCTGGAGACAGAGGTGTGCGCTGACCCATGCTGGGCGCTGGGCCCACACTGGACCAAGGACGAGGAGTGTGCCAGTGCTTGGACCAGGATGATGACAGCATGCCAACCCTGCGCTCTAGGTTTGGCCCAAGAAAGGACCAACCCATGCCAGATATAGAGGCTGGGGCGGGCATCAGCCTGTGTGGCCGGGTACATGTCCCTAAGAATGGAATGATGGTCTGCCAGTCGAGAGTGAAGACTGCAGCTGGGTCACATGGGGAGGACAGTGTGCAGTGAAGCCAGATGGTTAGGGACGGGCACCAGCAACCCTGCCTGCCCTGTGCTGTCTCCGGGGCAGGCTGAGGGGCCCAGTCAAGCTTAGGCAATTGGCTACCATGGGCCTCTAACCAGCCATGCCAGCACACACACCCTGCCACCCTATCAGTCCCCTCAGAGGGTTGCCCTGCTGTGTGCGCAGGTTGCTACACACACACGTGCTATGCATGTGCGGCCAGTACCGTGTCACATCAGTCCTGCGGGAACAGGGCCACCTGTTACCCCCACCCGGCTGCAGGGCTGCACAGGTCCCCAGCTGCGTGGTCTGCTGTCGTGGTCCTGCCTAGGCCTTTGCTGCATGGCCCGCAGATGGAGCCTGTGGGCATCTGAGCGAGCCCCTCCAAGGGTCCTCGGGGAGCTGGCACGGACAAGGAATGTGTGTGAGGCTGCACTTGGTCACACTGGAGGCTATATACAGTCTCTCGTGCTGCTCCCCGCAGTGACCAAGCCAGGACCTGGGATCCCCGGCGCCTCCCCACACCTGCCCCTCTGCCTCACAAGGCTTCGTTTGCCTGGTGGCTGCTTCACAGAGACCTGGGACTAACTGTCCACTGAGAACAAAGAATGGCGATTTGCTAGAGTGCGGGGGTGCGAGGCACCAACTATGGGCCCCCCCTCTTGCTCCCCGTGAGCGAGTTCCTGGCCTCAGGTGTGCTCCGTGAGGCCTACTGCACACATCAGCTCCTCACAGCAGACGGCTTCCCCAGCACTCACTTTAATTCCTCAGGGAGACGGTGCAGCAGGCATGGCCCTCACCAAGATTTTGGCAGCAGGAACCACCTCCCCTTACTCGCAGGAAACCCAAGAACCCAAGTTTGACGTGTCAATGGAGGGGCTGAAGCCCCGGGAAGACAGCTGGGCGGAGACTGCCGCCGAGGGTAGTCCGTGGTCCAGGGCCGTGGCCTGGAGCCCATGCACACTTGGCCCTGGTCCTTCTGGCTGGTCAGAGAGAAGATACAGGGTCTTCTGTGGTACCCCACTCCGGCTGAGAAGAGGTGTGTGACGGGCTGTCCAATCTGACAGAAGTGGCCCAGAGGCCAGAGGAACCAAGAACTGAGATGCCTACCAAGTCCCCGCGACAGCCCAAGAGAAACTGCACCCAACCATGACTGACCCTCGGTATCAGGGTGTAGAGAGGTCCCCTGTGGTGAGGCTGCGACTGAGTCCTGAGCAGTTCGGGCTGAGTCCCCGCCACCACCAGCACCCCCCCAGGCTGAGCCTGCTTGTGACCCTCAGCAGAGCTGTCTGCCATTCCCCAACCCTCCCTGCTGTGTCCCCAGGACGGCAGGCACAGGCATGGCAGGTGTGGGAGGCTTTGGGGCTCTATGCACAAAAGGAGCTCAACCTTGAACTTCAGGCCAAAGAACCCAGACCGTGCCTGGAGCCCATGAGCCTGACTGCCAGGTGGGGGGCAGGCCAGCCGGGCCACCCGCCCAGGGAGGGCCAGAGCCACCCCTGAAGCCAGCCGCGCTGGTGAGGCACTCAGTGGGGCTGAAGGGCCAAGGGCGGCCCAGAGGCCATCCTGTGGTCTGTGGGGCAGCTGTCCAGTGTCGTCAAGAGGAAGTTCTTGGAGAAGAGCTTTCTGCCTCTGCTTCCGGCGGGAGTGACCTCTGTATCCGGCCAGCCGAGCAAGGAAAGGAGACCTTGTGTCCTGCAGGGAGAGGGGGCACCCTGGGGGTCACAGGCCCTGGATGGCTGGCTGGGTCTGGGGGAGCTGCCTACCTGGGGGAAGGGGGAGCCGAGTTTGTGACGGCCACAGCTCGGCCTCCAGCGGGGGAGCCCAGGGCCCAGCGCGGGCCCTGACTTCGATCATCATGGAGTCCTCGCAGAAGGAGAAGTCCAGCTTGCTCCCCTGGTAGGAGATGCCTGAGACGCACACGCCGGAGACGCCGGCCGGGCACGTGGGGTCAAAGGTCACACCAGCGCTGGTGATCCTGTGGGGAGGGGGAGCTCTGTGGGGAGGGGCCGAGGGGCAGGTGGCGCCCTCTGCTGGGCCCCGCACTCACCGGAGTCCCGTGAACCCGAAAAGCGCCGCCTGCAGGAAGCCCCCCATGCCTGTCAGGAAGTTCACGGCCCCGGACCCGTCGGCATTCTCCGTCCACACCTGCAGGGGCAAGGTGGTCAGTGCTGGGACCCCCACCCCAGGACACAGGCCCCTCCTGAGGCCACTGCCCCTGCTCCCAGAAGGGCCCAAGATCAGGTGGGAATCGCCAGGCCCCGCTGTGACCCCCCCAAGCTGGGCTCCCACTCCCGCCAGCCAGGGGCCCAACTGGGAGGCAGGTGTGGGCTGAGGCCGGGACAGGCTGGCCTTGAAGGGCTCGGTGATGTTGGCGAAGCTCCTTTCCAGGAGGCCCCACGCCCGCCTGGGGTCCTTCAGCTCCATCCAGCCCACCGCAAACATGCTCTGGGATCAGAGGTCAGAGAACACGTTGGGGTGAGGTCCAGTGCATGGGGAGGGAAGCCCGAGGCCAGTGGGGCAGGGCTGGGGTGGCCCTGAGGACCGCCACCCGACGTGCCAGTCTCCTCACCCAGGTCATGGCGGGGCCCTGGGGGGATGTCACAGCCTCGTAAATCTCCAGGTTTTTCCTGCGAACGTGAGGACTCAGGGAGAAGGGGACAGGGTACCCCAGGAGCACGACGTCTGCCTGCTTTACCTCCTCTCCTGGGCGGGGAAGGGGGGACAGGTGCTGCTGATGGGGGAGGAGAGGAGGGGTTCTGTATCGGGAAGGGGGCGTCCAGAGTGGACATGGGGTCCTGAGGGAGGGGAGAGTGGGCCTTTAAGGGGGTCCAGGTCTACTCACCAGGCTCATACCCGTCAAACTCAGGGTGGAAGTTCTGCTTCAGGTCAAAGGGCACCTTGATCTTATCAGCCACCGCCAGCCACCGCTGGGGGACAGCCTGACCCAGGTCCTCGGCCAGGGAAGCTGCAAAGCGCAGGCTAGGGGCAGAGGTGGACAGGGGGGGCTGCAGTCCCAGCGCTGCTGGCCGGCCCCCTGCACCGTGGGGTGGGGTCTCGGGTCTGACCTGTTCTGGACCAGGACGTTGGTGTACACAGAATTGTTGACCCCTGAATGGTATTCGTCGGGGGGCATGACTCCTGGGCACATAGGGCAGATGGTGCTCAGTGCAAGACCTTAGGGATCTACCCCTGTGCCAGCAGCCAGTGTGGGGCTGGCAACATTGGGTGACAGAAACCACGTGACGAATTGAGGAGCATTTACCTGCCCCCACAACTCGTGACCACCTGCCCTCCCCCAATGACAGTTCACTCCTCCCAACCCCCAGGATTATCTTCCCTCCCCCCATGACCATTCCCCTCCCCCATGACTCCCCACTCCCCACCATGCCCTCACCCCTCAGGTGGTACTTCTCCTCTCCAGGGCTCCACTCTACACGGCTACACCAAAACTCAGCCACGGCACTGACCACATCCCAGCCACCAGCCTCTTGGAAGAGCTGCAGGTCCTGGAGGAGCAGAAGAGGGTGGGACAGAAGCCAGAACCCCCC